GATTCTGAATGGAAGTCGAGTGCGAGGGCGCATCCCTCAGACGGGATTGATTAACGCCAAAAACTTTAAACTAAACTTTTATTTGATACGAAAACAGTCCGGGGAAATAAAAATGCTGTTTCCAAATGTTAGCAAAACAAAATCGATTAAAGTAGAATGTTTTCAGCTCCTGATTCAATTATGTGCTGGAGATCTGATCTACTCTTTGGCTGTAATTCTCAGTGGATTGCATCGCATTCGCATCTACACAGATGCTTATCGAACATATACAATTCCATTCAGGACTACTCGGGAATGTGCCTTGCAATTGTGGCTGCTATTGAAATTAATAGGTGTGCAAAACGCCTTGTTTTGACTTGATGTTTCGTCAAATGCTGTTATATCGCCGCGGTACGCTTTCCGAATCCGAAAGTCTCACAAAGTTGGCCATTTATGGACAAAACTTCAGTCCCATCCGGTGGTACTCCAACTCGTACGTGTGCCATCTGGGCACCGTGCTCTCTCTGCTGTGCTCTATCCCTTACACTACCGAGACCCTGCTTGTCCTGTCTTTTTAATGGCTTATATGTCATACATTATCAAAAAATTGGTAGCACACAGAAGTTCAGAATGAATAATCTTGTATGCAATAAAATGATACGCTTCTAATATTTTAATTGGGTCTAGATTATCTATTGCGCTGACACATAGTTATTGCGAATTTTGATTTTTCGCGCCCGCTTTTCTCGATACAATCCGAATTCGATTTTTCGAGTAGGTTAAGATGGCAGAGTCATTTCGTCAATGGAACAATCAGCCAAAGCCAAGTAAGGACTGGGATCTGCTCCCACTAACCGACAGGAGCTCCTATGAATTATCACGTCAATCGTTCGTTGAAAATTGGCTAGCGCACATTTTTTACGATGTTTGGATGATTTGATGGCCTATGTCAAAGCCGTGTACCGCCCTTAAAAATCTAGATTTCTCGCCGGTGGAATCGACCAACTGCTTAGCAAATGACAAGCGGTGCTTGACGTTCATGGGACTACGCTTCATCGTAATTCCTTGAACATGTCTTTGTTGAATATTTTTATCTTATGTAAAAAATTATTAAGAAAACCTGCATTACTTATGCATCAACCCAACAGTTTTGTATAAACATTGGTTATGACTGCAACATGATGTATCGCGCTGTGAGAGGATTTTTCAGGTGATCTCTTCATTCCGGTGACAATCTTCTGGATGGGCATCGAACGATTCATTGCTATATCGTTCCCACTATTTTATCGCATGAATGTGGACGGGAAACCTTTGAAGTAGGTTATAAAAGACTGCTATCTGAGACAAATCATGATTGACTGCTGTTCATATCCTATTTCACACACTAAAGTATAAACTGGTAATTAGAAATAATTACTCTCACTATCCCTACTACTGTATATAGTATAAATTGCTCGCGTCTGTCTGTGCTTGTATGTCACGGAAATCGTTATTGCCTGAAGAAACACCCGGAGAGGATCACGAATGAAGTTGAGTTGGGCTGGGCATAGGGCAAGATCAACAGAGCACACGTGAGTTCAACGAAACTACTCCCACAATGTTCACGATAAATTTGAGGTGTTATTTTGAGTGAATTCCTGGAAGCCATGGTGCAAGATAGTGCGAAGGTGGCGGAGTAAGCGCGAAAATGTTAGATTCTAAATATAAAATACACCGAAGAAGTAGCACAAAAGGGTTGTAGGATATGGTCATCTGGGTGCTTCTCATTTAATACTATTTGTCTCGTAATGCGAATGGGACAGTTGTAACAGGGCCGGCTTAACACGGCCACTTAGAGTGGTTGCGTCGGCCAAACTGGTTCTGTAGCCCTCACTAAACGCTAAGCCTTTCTTTGCTTCGACAGCGCTCCATGTACCATTCTTTCGGGTGGCAGATTTATTTTGCCATGTACGGCTATCTCTAAAAATCGGCATAGTGCATACGTTGGTTTTCTTTGTTTGAACTTTTACGAGGTTATAAGAGAACTTTATTCCGGCTTACGTTTCGACGGTGATCGCCTTCTATAGAGTCTGGAACGATCGAAGCAATTTATGATTACCCGACCAAACGCCCAACTACCTTACGGGAATTCGAAACCTCAGAGGTCATCACGCAATTGTAGGTTGGGGCTTAACGTGTATCAATCCGATCCTCGCGACCACTTAGAAGCTAGCAGCGGTCTAATACGCTCGTCGGACTAGATGTGATTCAGACTCGCTGGTGGAAAACCTTATATACAGCCTTAGCTCCTGCGTGATTGTGATAGATTCTTCCTTCCAGTTCATTTTTGGTCTAGTGATCATGAATTTTTGAGATTTATTTTGCGATCACAAAAACCACTTGGGTCGTGAACTGTGCTTTCAATTGGGCCTCATAACAGTCCAGGTACTCCGAAAGAAATGAGCAAAGATGGGGATTGGTCAACAGCGAAACGAAGGAAATTCACCTGCCCATCGACCATCATGGGCTTAACAGATATGTCGCTCCTCGTATTTCCCTTTCGAAATACGACACGCCATAATGCCCAGAAAAATTGTAAACCTATCAATGTCGCTCTCGAAAAAATCATAGGATCATTCGAAATAGGAAGACTTGGGAGTGAAAGTTGTTGGTCGCTACTTTGAACAGAAATCGAGCGGGCGGAAAGAATGCTGGCCGAGTTCGACAACGCTTGAGGAAAGAGCGGTTCCAGACCAAACATACCGAAGGTGATGTTCATGAGAAACGGACTGGTAGATGCGTAAGGAGCATTTGTGGATATTGAGTGAGTAGTGAAGACCTCCCTGTTATGATGTATGTATGCCTTGGAGACTTTGAAGCGATGAAAGTAGTCAGCGTCATTCAAACAAGAAGAATGGGGACGTTACTGGCCTTTGATCGAGGAAATTGATGGCCAACAAAACGACAGGTTACAGGTGATTCAGTGCAAAAGCGACTAGGAAAACGCGAAAATCGGCATATTCAGACAAACTTATAGCTTCAAGGAAGTAGTAAAATCAGAGGTGGGGCGAGATATTGTGGCTGCAAACGAGGTATTCGACCCGACACCGTCCCTTGGGCTGAACTTTACGGCCACAGATTCATTCTAGGGAGAATTCCCAGAAATAGAAAAGTTAACTATTTTTTTGATCTGAGTCGTATCCGAAAAGGACAACATGGAAGAATCGTCTCACGATGGAACAGAAGGGATCCCTCTCTAGAAGCATCCTGTTCAGAGTCGTCAAGCCAATAGAATGAACTGAAATATCACAATTTATTTCTGCCGACCGGTTGACATGGAAATCACGTCCTCCATTTCCACTTGGTATATTTCGCTCGTCCAGCATGCATTTCGGAAAAAAAACTGAACAAGATTTGGTTTGAGATTTGTTCCTCAGGACATGTGTGTAAAAGTTACGTGGGTCGCAGAAGGCAACCACCAGTCTAGCATAGATAATAGCCAAATTACAGTGAAGTTATCAGCACAATACCACGCAAAAATTAGAGCTGACAAGAATTTGAACTAAGCAAGCCGACGTTGTACTTCAGCCTCGAAGAAATGTAGTTGGTACTTCCCCGCGAAAAAATCAAGAATTCGGTTACAAACGCACTCGCAGTGATGTGAATACTGGGAGCACTCGCAACCCACTGTTGCTTCCAAATAAGCATTCAATAGCTTTGGATCTTTAATCTCAGGCGAGTGCATATAGTATAGAAATAGATTTGCTTTGGCTTCATTGAAGCACTTATATTTGTATTTCAAAGCAGCACTATTCAGCTAAAGCAATTATTTATAGATCTATCGTGGTTCCATTGTTGAGTGCGATTTTCGTCTTGACAGCATCTGGATACGCCGTGACCCTTGCGGTATATAACGATCGCCCGGCGAACTATCACTGTGGCCGAAAAGTGACTTTCGGCGAAGGGTTTTCGACATTTGTGTATATCACGAATATATTCTGCAATGTAGTGTCCACATTACTGAATGCAGCCGCTTATATCAAAGCGAAGCAGAAGACTAAGAAAAACGTGTAAGTCTAGTTTTTCGAATAGGTTTCTGCGATTTATTTTGCATAACCAAGAGAAGTACACTCGAGTATTTTCGCAATGATTTTTGACCGTGCGAAATCCTCCTGCATCGTCTGTCTTCCCGTTCATCGAAATCTTCGTTGTCGTTTTGTTTTTTCTTCACTTCTTTGGTTGGAAGCATCAGTGAAGAAGTTTGACTGGCGGCCACTCTCGTTCCGGAGACCCAGTCAGTGGCCTACCTGGTCCAACAGTCATGACAATATCGCATAACGTGTCCGCCACCTAACCTTCGATTCCTTGGCGCATTTGGTCTCTATTCATTGAGGAAGCTCGAAAATTTGGACTCCCCTCTGCACTTGCTTGTGTGGAAAAATTCCTACCATCGGTACCAATATTATTCAATGCTTCTGTGCCGCACAGGTTTTTCAACGGTGGAATTTTGATTCGCCTAACGTTTCGACAAAATCGTTGTTTTCAAAGGCCTGAAAGAGTATCGAAATCTAGGGTGTTACCTATCACGCTTGACGTGGACCAGTTCTTAACTAGTTGCAACTCAGACCCCCGTACTTACAACTAAGTAGAAATTCCAACAGTTAAAAAACCTGTGTGGCACAGAAGCATTGAATAATATTAGTACCGATGCCCAGGTTTCAAGAGAGGCGAACGTGGAAATTGCTAAATTTTCTAGCATCGTTCTTTCCACAGTCCGAGGCGTGCTTAAAAGCAGGAAGGACCGCGATGTAGGAAAGTTGAGCGCTAAGCCGAATGTTCTAAGCTTAGCATAGATCTTTCTGAACGCTCCTTGAGCCCCGCAATTCCTTTTGCTGAGTTTTTAGGCTAGGGTGTTCATCATGTTGACTTCTCGACCTTCCGAACTGTGGGAACATACCAAAGTACACAGAAAAATAGAGTAGAATAGAAACCCAAGGACCGAGAAGGAGTTTTTTGGCAGCTACCTCAAATACCACGGATTTCAGTGGTTTCTGCCATGAAATCACGTCGATTGAATTAATGGACCTCAGTTCTGCTTTGCTAGGTCGATTAAGACCTTCTGTCTCCTCGCAGGTGTATCTATGCATACGTATGTGGAGATTATGAAGGTGCGGGTGGTATTTTGCACATCGTGTACGAAACGCTTTTGCATTCGAGTGACTGGGAAGTAGTTCGCAAGACGATTCGATGCCGCTTCCAAACTGATCCTCTTGCCTATTGTGTGAGAGCCTAACTGGCTACTCTGAGTCTATTCAGCAGCCACGCTAGAGTCTGACGTCGGAAGCGTCAGAGCTTACTCTTCGATATCCACATGTCAAAAATAGTAAAATACGGCCCGTTCCTCTAAACCTGGGGGAGTACCCAAAACAGCAGCTTTGGGTAGCAGCTCGGGAAAGACTGCTTGAATTTTGAGATCATACCAGGATTTTCAAAAGGGAATGGATCCAGGTGACGACCTGTACTTTTGATGCATAAACGCGTGCCTCGGAGACGTGTATTTGAAGATCTGGTGATGCGAGCTAGAAAGATCAGCGATGACGTCATCAGAGACTGCTGCACGTTCTTCTTGAGTAAGAAAGGACTGTTTTCTGGAACATGTGACAGCAAAGACGTTGACTTGGCCATGAACACGATTCGTGCGCACCAATATCAAGCTAAGAAAAGGGGAGGCGGAAGTGTTGCATATGGACCTGCAAAGGCTGTCGAAAGATGGACTATTTTTTTAAGGTCTTCGTCGGTGATTTCATGCAGAAATTGACGCAGTAAGGCTGAATGAAAAGTTGCTTGTTGGATTCACGGAACGGAATGGAGAGAGCACGGTAAAAGACAGCATATTACCAAGCCGATCCACAATTTACAGCAATTCGAAATTCAAAGACTTTCTCATTCGTGATAGACATATGAGTCACCTCATGGGCAGTTCCATGGTGGATGGAACGAACATACAATCGAACGTTTTGCCTAAGTGACGTCGCTGTTGTTCCGTTAAGTTTAAGTTTTTAAGTTCCCCATGGGGATCGTCTCCTCCGCGCTGGACTCTGCTTCTCAGTGCATGGAGAGAGAGCCACGGAGTTCTGTGCAAAGACCCAAGACCTTTATCAACTGGGACCATTTCGCTTTCCTTGTGAGCTCCTACGGGATCAGCTATCAAAACATCAAATTCAAGAGTACAACCGGTTTGTCGAATATCTTCACGATAGTGCTAGGAAGGCAGAGAGTTTACAAGTATACGCCAGCGTGGAATCGCACAATCAGCTGAAGAAGCATCAACGAACGTCCGAACTTGCGGAGCTATGCAGAGAAACGATAAAGGAAAATCTGAAAGAGGGAAGAGCAGCAGCTGTGGATGAAGCCTCCGAAGCCGAAAAGAGCATTAGCAAAGCCCGCCGAGGCTTAGCCAATCACAAGACCAAGATGACTTCCCTTCGTCGTCCTGACGTAACGGTTACTGCTTCTAGAAGGGCAATGGAGCAGGTTATCTGCGGTTCCTAGTCGAAACTCTACTACAATCACATGCACCTGCCTGTCTACCGTCTTTGGCAAGAAGGATATGTTGCTCCTTCCCTTCCGGAGTTCGACATGCCATCACGTCCATGAAAAATTGATTGTGGCACCCGGTATCCGTGAGATCAAACGAAAGCATATGAAGAGTCTTTCATGATCTATCAACATAACCCTAGACGGGCTTTCATGCGGTGACTGTCGAAGTGCAAAATGCAAAGACGATGTTGCTGTATGAGAGGGGAGATCCAGTCGACGTGGCAACTATCGAACAATTTACCTGCTGTTTGACCTATAATCTTTTCACATGAGCCACCCCAACAAGACTGACAAATACTAGACGGTCAAGCGAGCAATCAGGATTTCGGAGAGGTTAATCGGTCCCATCCACACTGTCCCAATGTACATGAATTACACGATGCCGTTATGTTTTGGCGTTTATCAGTTTAAAGAGACCTTTGCACCGTCGTGACAGGCTGGGGGCAGCAATGAGCACCTCAGTATATGAGGATGCCTTGCGGGCTCTATGATACCTTGTGGACCAGAATTTCACTCCTCTACAAGGAAGTCATTGTCGAAGTTAACAGAAGGGCTAGGTAGGGCAGAAACATCTCGCTCTAATTTTTCTGGTCCGTTCTCAAGAAGATCATGCCTCATTTGGAATGGAAAGGCTTGGGAATGACTGCTGACGGTCGCTTCTCATAAACGATGCAGACGACATCGTGCTAATGACACCGAATATTGAGCGGGCGTAAATAATGCTGATGTTGTGTTTACGGCTATTTGACAGGGCTTGCAGCTACGTAGGTCCAGAAGTCAACATGATGAACGAAGTGGCTAAGATGCCGAGCAGAACGAAACGGGCGACGTGAGAGCTCTGGAAAGATCGAAGGGAGTAGTGAAGAAGGCAAAGGACATCTCCACTCTCTTGCACCGCGACCCTTCCTGCTTTGACGTTTACCAGAGTCTTGCGCTCTATGCAAACAGGATGAGCATGCAGTGACCGTCTCTCGAAGAAGGGATTATGCTTGGAATTCTTTTACACGCGTAAGTGCAGAAGGGAATGCAGAAGTACAGAGCTCGTCATCAAACGAAGATCAAGCGCGTCGTTGCTCAACTCGAACTCTGGAATCTGGATTACGCCGAGGACTCCAAAATCAGCCAGGCATATTGTAGACACCGTTGGACCATGGCGGTTACTGATAGTATCCCTCAGAAAACGAAAACAAACATCAGGACAGCAGCCCAGCGTGATCGATGATCAGGCGCACTCAAGAAAGCTCTGAACGTAAGAAATGCTACGGAAATGATCTGTGTTCTTTGAGCAATGACGGTCCACTGGGCGGTTCTTGCTCGTGACAGGGTACGATTGCAAATGTATCGCCACTTGTTCTAGGAAATCGATGATAAACGGGACATCAGGTGATAGGGGAGATATTAGTCGTTCCTTGAGTCGTCTGGGAGGACGCTACTTTTCTTTTAGGTTAATTTGGCGGCCACCTGCTAATAACTTTTTGCATCATCCAAACATTTCAATTTCACCAAAGACTTCAGCTTACAATTAAAGGTCCTTTATTCGCAGGCAGGAATAACCCAGACTTTGAGCATGCACTCTAAATATACTCTGAATTTGATATTTTACTCACCCCAGTATGGGATACACCAACGTGAGCGAATCCCCTTCCTACAGCAATTTTTTGATTTATGGAGCATTTTTGAGTTCCTAATACTTCGACAACCAGTGAATCTTTTCATCTTTTTCAATTCATCTTTTTCCAGGCAGCAAGCCCAACGCCAAGCTCACATCATTAGATATTATCTTCTGATTTCACTACTCTCGACCGTACTGGTTTCGTTGCCAAACACAATAGCACTATTCCAAGTCTATGTGCAATCGGTTAGTGCAACATATGATTAGCCGAAAACTGAGCTAATAGTCCATTCAGTACAAAAGGAATCATGGAACTGAAGAAAATAGATTACCGAAACTTTATTTAAGGTAAGCGACGTGATCTCGAAGCCGTCCGTTTGGATGCAGACAATCAACTCTGGCATCCACTTATTCGTATATTTGATACTGAATCGTGATTTCCGTCATCGTGCTCAATACCTCGTTCGACTTGAAGGATCTATGAGCCACCACACTAGTTAGTTGATGTATCTGTTTTCGCCACATTAGGAGGGCAAACCACTTCAGATGTAGCGCCACCTAGAGAGAGGTAGCGAAGCGCGACTGATAGTGAACTTTCCTTTGCACCGTGATTCAATAATGACGAGGAGCCGTGAAAGTTATGCAGTGGAAGCTAATCTGACTCGAATCCTTTACTGTAAGATGTGCTGACTAGTACCTGAAAGGACAAATGAAAAGAGCTGGCGGCTGCGAACTTACTTTGATTGCGAAGTAAGGAGTAAGGAGGTCAGTGGAACTTCAATTTAGAATTTCTAAAATAGAGGACGAACCGTTTGTCGTGAGAAAGAGCTGCCAGCATGTGCCAGCACTGAAAAACAGTGTGAAAAAGGCGCGATGGGGTTCAAGGAAATTTTTTTCGCTTTCTTCCCTCACCTTGTTTGTTGTGACAACGCCATATGTCAAATGAAAACGAAATGTATCCCAGTTCACATTTTTCAGAGCTAAACAGATCGTGTGTTTTCCTTCCAAACAAGCCCACCAGATGCATTAACCTGCAGCAGAAGCTCATTACGAATTTGGGTTATACAATTTGACTACCAATTCACGAAACTTAAAGTTCTCAAAAAACCGTAAAAGAAAGATCAAGGTGATGGTAAAATGGAGTTCGAATCGTGGACCAACTGCTGCTCATGCCGATCAAAGCATCATTCTTACGGAAGATTGCATAGGATTCGTTTAGAAAAAGTAATACACTAGCGACTCACCGGGGAACCTGCGTAAAACTTGCGGTATGGCGAGTTCTACGAAATTTATTTATTATGCACAAACGTGCGCCACTAAGAAGCCTAACAGAGAAACTTTACACAGAAATACAGAAAAGCCGTAAAAACTGAAACGGTTCAATTAAAGTGCTTCACACACTAGATCTCATACATGCATGTAAATAGTGTTGGAATGGCATGAATTGAAAGGCAGTATGCTTTTATTGATGCCATTAGTGGCTCCAACATCAGAAAAAAATCCTCGCTATTCACTCGAACCTCAGACCACTGCAGTTAGTTGTAAGACAGACGGCAATCGCCGAAACGATCGAGAGTGGAGAGGCGGTAATTACAGAGCTGCCCAGAGAGAAGTTTCTTAGCCACGTAGCATCCAGCATTAAACAGAAGAAAATGAAATGATAGGATGCATCGTGACATCTAGTGTATGAAGCAGTTTTATCAAACTGTTAGCCTTATTGTCATTTTTCATTTCCTTATCATTTTTCATCTTCGCAGGTCACGCAGGACAGGAAGTCTTCTGAGATGAATTACTCTTCGAAAAGAAATAAATAATTGAAAAAGCGAATACATCAAAGTATTAATAAGAGCCCTCTAGACCTTAACAGTTCCAGCAAATTTGTTTTTCTTAATCTATTTCTAAGCATATGACTGTTTTTAGCAGAAAGCAATTCGGAAGGTAACATTTGCATCCATCTTGCGCCGCGATAGAGGGGTCCGGGAACTTCTCCCCTAACACGGCGTCGCACACGCCGCACCCGCCGCCTATTGCAGGATTGCGATGAAAGATTGGAGCGCGCAATTTGTGAGNTAGGGAGTCCTTTAATTATTTGAATTGGCTGGTCGCTCCCTTCGATTTCAATGCGGTATTGATCGTCGTTTATATAAGAGGAGTCATTTCAATTAATCAAGTCTAATAAGCATGAAAACTAAAAAGAAACAGAAGAAAAAACGATAAAATCCAATGAAAAAGCGAGCCAGTCAAGGAAAAATATCACGTCCTATCGATTTTCGGGAGGCGGGGTGAGTACGGTAATTGCAGTGACATTCGCCGCATGCCGCAAGGGAGAATGCCGCGATAGGGGAGAAGTTCCGTTACCCCGCGATAGAGCACAAAGTCGTGCAAGTGACTTCGATTTCTCTATCCAAACTCCTATAGTGCAGGTTGAAACCACCTAACCTTACGTGACGTTGCAAATCCTATGACTTTTTCCCATTCGGTGAGCAGTGTAGACTACAAAGGCAATAAAGAAAATTCATTGACTACAAATCTTGAGCAAATTGAATTGATCAGACTTTCAATTTTTCAGGCCTTAATGCAATATTATTCCTAAGCCGTGTTCGCCCTTGATATTGTATCCACCATTTTGCTTCATTAGATTAATGTGCAGATGCCAACTATGCCTACTTTCCCAATGAGCTGAGCCAGATTAGTTTTGAGAAGACCTGTTTTGTATTCAGTCTTCGATTTGAAGAAGTGGGCTGAGTGAGAAGCTCCAGCGTAAGCTACCTTATGTTAATAGTTAACTATTTGAGCTAGACACAGTTTTTATCAAATTCCAATAAAAAAATATAAAAACTCAGATAATCAAATAGCTGCGATATAATTCAATCCGTTCAGAATTAGCTGAATCGGTTCAGCAGCGAGAGCCGCTTATACCGAAGATCGACCTTCGACAGAAGAATTCCCAAAAGATGAATGGTTGGCTAGCCTATATTTCTATCTCTGATTTATCTCATAATATATTATAAAAGAAGGATTTGACGTCATATCGACCGTATTTTATCTATGGATAGGATTGTGGAGAGAGTTTTTATCAAGGATGTTATCAGAAAGTGAGCAATGAGAAGCCGCTCTATTTCAAGGACAACAATATTGAGAATCAGTGTAGTAATATCAGTGAATGACAAAACTTTTCCTTCATCCTGCAAGACCTTCACAGGTAGGAGTAAAACGGGGGCTACCGTTAGGTTGATGCATGATTATTGCTGATTTTTTCGCGGCATCTTTTCTCCCTGTGAATTTGAACTTTTAAATTCGGGATTTTTGCAGGAATAACCTTCTCGCTTTCCTTAACAGAAATTGGTCTAAAAAGTCGTCTTCATGTACGCCACATTATGCTCTATAAGTTCGAGAAATGTTGGAAGGCGGCACACTCATAACGTGATCTCAACGAAGTTCTCGGCGATGGAACAGTCAGCCAAATCCGAATAAAGAATGGAATTTGCTTCTACGGTCGCCCTATTCACCAGCAGAATCTCCTATGCATTATTACTTTGATCGCCCGTTGAAAAATTGGTTAACGAACACAACTTTAGACGAAGTGGAATGCTTGATGGCCAACGTCAAGGCGTGATCGCCTCCACGAATGAAACTCCTTCGCCTGTAGAATCCGACCTCCTAGCAAATGGGAAGCAGTGCTTGACGTTGGTGGTGGATATGTTCCGAAGCAATTATTTGAACATGACTTTGCTAGATAGTTCTATCGTGTCTTNAAGTAAAATTTGCTGAAAAAAATCCGTAATAATTATGCATCGACCTAATAGTTTGCTACCAATACTACCATTAAAAAATACGGGAACAGTACAGATGACGTCGCTACGTAGAAATTATTTACAAAATTCGAGTATTCCTAAATCGAATATCCCATAAGCTTACTTCATAATCTCCTCCTGCTCGGCAATCACTGGAATATCCATCCGAAAATGAGCAATGTAAATTTTGAATGACAAGAGAATGCATGGCACATCTTGACGTCGAATGGAATCAAAATAAAGTGGACACATACATACATAAAGAAAAGAGTTAAAGATTACAATAAATAAAGATTCTTGCTTTCAGAACTCCATTTCATAGGAAGTGGTGATAACCTTCTCAAACACGGAAAACGACCATCAAACCAACAAGTTGAAGAACAGCCGTTAGAGGAACTGAACACCTGCAACAACAGCTCCTGATCGGAGATCGAATGAATTATGCAGTAATCCAGAAACTCGACAGAACACTTATGAAGCCGTTTTCGCGGAGTCGAACGATTGCTGCGAGTTGTGCGCATGGTGATGGGTTATTTTTAATATAACCCCCAATTATGTTTGACTGCACGAGAATGTTTAAGACGATGAACAATGTATGGCCCATGATCTTGGGTACATTGTGTTAGGGATTGAGGGATGACACCTCCTGCGAAAAATGTCTTGCGCTTTATTTGGCTTCCAGGAAATTAGATCGCAGGGCGTATCTGTCTTTCTTTTTGAAGCTTGGCATCGTTGCTAGATGGACACAAGCTCTTTGCAAAATTCAGCTCTCTAAGGAAAGTATCACGCTTGATAATGCTACGACCTTATTCGATGAGGCGAGAAAAAGGAAGAACTGACTCAGTCATCGCTCTCCCTGTTTCTTTTGGCCTCTACAATTGGGCATGTACATAAGTACAAGCGATGGTATAGATGCCATCTTCAATTTTCCAATTCTCTAAACATGTCCGGTTTCTCAAATAGCGTGGAAAAACAGCAAGGAATGTTTGTCCATCAATCATAGAGCAGTTGTTCCAGTAGTTTTGGGGGAGGGGAGTCTCCGCTTATTGACCTCTGTGACATATTTGTCTAACTATGTTATATTTGTTTAACATCTTGCACGATAAAAAATTCTGCCTCACGAGTCGCAGTAGCGATTGCTACGGGAAGTAGAAGTTGCATTGCTACGGGGGTTCCTACGGGGGAAGCAGAAACTATATTGCATAAGTAATTCATCCTAATGACGATCCCACATTCCTGCCCTCTACAGTTTTAGTGAGCATGATTGTTTTTCAGAAGTGTCTGAAACCGAAATTCATGAGCGGCGTTCGAGACTATACGGCAGAAGCATTAGCTTCTCAACTCTTTTCTACTGTGTCTCCCATTTTGATAGTGGTGTCGACCTATCTTTACGTTGATGAACTCCTGCAACTCCCGGTTATAGAGAGCGTCTGCATCGATTCAACCTCAAAACGCTTTTCTATCGCCGCATTTTTAACGATTTGGTTTTTTGCTTGAAGCTTCTGAAGGGCGAGTTGAAGCTGAAGCCAAGTACTTACTGGACTTTTAGGCCTTGTCGAGGGCGCGCCTACAAGCTCTCTCTACAATGTCCTAAACTTTTGAAAAAGCAGTTTTGTAAAGCTTATAACTCCCTACTTTTCCGTGGGGCAAAATGGCTTCAGATGTTACCAGCTGAAATTCTCGCTTCGCAAAACAGCAACGTTTTCAAAAATAGGTTGAAGAAAATTGACTTGTTATCACGCCTTGGAATACAGGATTTTTGATGACTCTTTCGAAACACGTGAAAAAAAA